TGGAGCTTGAAGAGGTTCTTTACCCAAGGTGACGGAGCTATATTTAAAGCCAGGTCTGTCTGACATGAAGTTAGAGCCTGAATTCCTAACTCCTATTCTCTGCTGCTCCTTTTGATGAGACCTCCCTTTGGTCATGAAACCATTACAAACCAAGGCCCCGGTGAAAGGTTGTATGGAATGAATTGGAGAGAATTCCAATAAGGAACAGTAAAAGAGAACAGAAGAAATTATGGGTCATTCAGACTAACTCCCATGAAGAGAATAAATAATACACTGCATTCATGTATTTTAAGTCTTGACATCTCATCAGGACATAGGAGTGCATCTAGGGAGTAAGGGATAGGATGAAAGTCCTGGTGGCATACTGGGTTACACATGGAACTGCTAACCCAAAAGTCTACAATTCTAACTCACCAGCCACTCCAAGGGAGATATGGTAGGCTGTCTGCTCCTATGAAGATTTAAAGCCTTGTAAACACAGAGGGGGTAATTTTCCACTGTATAGGGTTGCTATGATTCAGAATTGATTCAATGGTAGTGAGATATTACAGGAAGGAAAGAAGGCTTGGTGGCCCTGTGCATTAAATTGATTGATTGATACATTGTCCTGAGGATTAACCTGAGGTTAAATTTAAACTCCCCTGTTAGTGATGGCACACACATACTGGACCATTAGAAGCCACCCACCCACCCACTGCCATTGGTTTGATTCCAACTTACAGTAACCCTCCGTAGGGTTCCCGAGGCTATAAATCTTTATGGGAGCAGACAGCCTCACTTTTCTCTCAAAGTGTGGCTGGTGGGTTTGAACTGTCAACTTCATGGTTAGCAGTCCAAAGCTTTCCGGACAGCATCACCAGGACTTCTTTACCAGAACAACAACATTTATATTTTCTGTAAATAAGTTTAGCAGTAAGTGAGCTGAGAGGGAGGGGCTTAAAAGGTGATCAACACAGTGGTCATGGCCATCCCTGCCCTGGCTACTGAAGACTCCCAGATGGATGTATCAGTCACCCATTAGCAAAGTTTTCTTGCTCCAGTTCTCATGGGGTGATTGAATTGCCTCATAATATTTGGTTGTGGAATATTGGGTGGTCCAAATGTTGAGCTCACTTGGCAGTTCAAACCCATCCAGAGGCACTTCAAAGAAAGGTGTGGTCATCTTCTGAATATCAATCACAGAAAACCATGAGGTATGCAGTACTCCTCTGACACAGGAGTGATTCTGACTGCATGCGATCTGGAGTGGTTACAGACAACACCATTCAGACCCAGAGCTGATACTCCTCTCCTGTTTTTTTGGTTTTTGGGGGTATTTTTTTTTTAACTAAAATCTAGCACAGATGGTTATCAGGCTTCCAAACACAGCAGCTTCTCACTTTTCAGATAAAAACACTTTCAACTTTAAAAAGACTTCTTCTCAAAAGCAACAAGGTTTTACTAAAACATGTTTATAACATTTATTGAGAACAAAATGTTTTTCAAATGGACAAAGTAGAGTTAAAACCTTTTGGGGAGTATAGATGAGACATTTTCTACAAATTTTCATATGCAGTTTATTACAATTACTAGTCATGCATTCACTGACGCTTATTGCTATAGAGTCAATTATGACTTATAGGCACCTTATAAAGGTTTAAAACATCTGACCCCTCCTCCAAGAAATCTGAATTGGCATTAAGATAACTTCACTGATAAAGGCCACTGGAGATCCCCTTGCAGAGGGGTCTAGGGGAGGAGATGAGCCAGTCAGGGTGCGATGTAACAATGATGAAAAATACAACTTTCCTCTAGTTCCTAAAGGTTTCCTCCCCGCTTCCACTACCATGACTCGAATTCAACCTTTCAAGTCTGGCTTGACCAGAGGATGTACACTGGTACACATAGGAACTGAAAATACAGGGAATCCAGGGCAGATGAGCCTTACAGGACCAGTGGTGTGAGTGGCGAAACAGGGAGGGTAGAGGGAGAGTGGGTAGGAAAGAGGGAACTGATTACAAGGAACTATATGTGACCTCCTCCCTGGGGGATGGACAACAGAAAAGTGGGTGAAGGGAGACGTCGGATAGGGTAAGATATGACTAACAATTTATAAACTATCAAGGGCTCATGAGGGAGGGGGGAGCGGGGAGGGAGGGGAAAAATGAGGACCTAGTGCGGGGGGTTTAAGTGGAGAGAAAATGTTTTGAGAATGATGTACAAATGCGCTTTACACAATTGGTGTGTGTATGGATTGTGATAAAGAGTTGTATGAGTCCCTAATAAAATTATTAAAAAAAAGAAAAGAAATAAAAGTCATACTATTACCGGGTAAAACAATAGAAATCACAGCAACAAAAACAGAATGATAATCCAATTCTATCTGGATATATAATACATTTGTATACTAAGCTACCACTGATCTTATGTGCTCTTAAACCTTATGACCTAGGTCTAGGTTACTCCATCTGAGACATGGATATATATTATATGTTTTGTATGAAGACCCCCTAGATTTTGGAGTGAAGTCAAAACTCCAAAACTGAATACAATTCCATGGAATCGATTCTGACTCATAGGGACCTGACCCTACAGGACAGAATAGAACTGTCCCTGTGGGTTTCTGAGGCTATAGATGTGGGGGCAGAAAGCTTCATCTTTCTCTCAAGGAGTGGCTGGCAGCTTTGAACTGACAACTGTGTGCTTAGCAGTCCAAATTGTCATCCATTAAATCACAAAGTCTGCCTCTAAAGTGAAGCCAGGGGGGCATGAATTATATACATATCCTTAGTCCTGGCGAGCATGGTTATTCCAACTGTTATAATCTAAAAACAAATACTTTTTCATCAAAAATTAATTCTTTTCTAAACTTTTACTATGTCAACACCATTGTTCTAGTTATCCAAATTTAAAACTACACTTAATGCAGACATAATCGGGGTATATTGTGATAAAAATAAAACACATTCCCATCCTAGTCGATTCTGACACATAGTAGCCCTACATAGGGTTTCTGATGCTATAAAACTTGACAGGAGCAGACAGCCTCATGTTTCTTCTGAGGAGTAGCAAACTATATAATAGCAAACCGAACTATAATGTGCTAAGGGTTATGTTAATTATATGTTCATAAGAAAGGCCTGGTGATCTACATTAGAAAAATAGCCATTGAAAACCCTGTGAAGTACAGTTCTACTTTGACACAGAAGGGGTCACTCTGAGTCGGGGTTGACTTGAGGGCAGCTGGTTAGTTTTAGGTTATAAGATCAACATCTAGGACAGCAGTTCTCAACCTGTGGGTCATGACCCTTTGGGGGTCAAACGACCCTTTAACAGGGGTTGCCCAATTCATAACAGTAGTAAAATTACAGTTATGATGCAGCAACGAAAGTAATTTTATGGTTGTGGGGGCGGGGATCACCACAACATGAGGAACTCTATTAAAGGGTCATGGCATTAGGAAGGTTGAGAACCACTGATCTAGGAGCACGAAGGGTTGCAGTACTAATTCAGTTGGATGGAACACTTGAAGACTTTTCAGAGGAAGTAATATATGAAAATATATATGATCGAGTGTAGACGTAATAATCAGCAAACTTTTGTTGTCATTTAATGGCATGGACATACAGGGCCTCAGGATGATTTTGGAAAGATGGGGTCATCCCAAACCTAGTAAGCTGATGAAAACTAAACATGGACACAAAGCTAACGTTAGACCAAGGTCTCTATCCCATCGACTAGACTACAAACATGCCTGGTGTTCAAAAGAGGGCTAGAGAAGGGCTTAAGGGAGACTTTCATTAACTATAACTAAATGACTATGTAGTTTGGTCTTTAACACCTGAAGCCAGACCTACCTCCTACCCCCACCTCCAAGAGCTGTTTGTTAGAAAGCTTTTTTTCAATTCTACACTACTGAGCACAGTATGATGAACAGAAACCTAAGTATATTACTTAAAATAAAAGTGATGGGGGGTGGAAAGTGATGGGCAGAACTTTTCTTTGCTCTGAAACAAACCTCATTAGAATCTGCCACACTAGGTATTCAAAGCAATGAAGAAGAACAACAGATTTTTGCTACTAGTTAAAGAGAAGAGGAGAAAGGGAGTATTCCTTGATAGAATTTAATGGCATTTCTGACCTCTTCCCTGGGGGACAGACAACCGAAAAGTGGATGAAGAGAGACGTCGGATAGGGCAAGATATGACAAAATACCCATTTATAAACTATCAAGGGCTCATGTGGGAGGGGGGAGCGGGGAGGGAGGGGAAAAATGAGGACCTAATGTCGGGGGTTTAAATGGAGAGAAAATGTTTTGAGAAACGATGTACAAATGCGCTTTACACAATGGATATGTGTATGGATTGGGATAACAGTTGTATGAGCCCCTAATAAAATGTTAAAAAAAAACACCCTTTAGTCACCAAAAAAAAAAAAAGAATTTAATGGCATTTCAGAGCTTCTCTATCTGGAGATTTTAAAAACCTATAAAAACGTTACCATTGTTTAAATGTTGAGATAATTAACATACAGAATATATGACACCAGAAGCATGCTCAACTTCATCGAGTACTCCAGCTGCAGCCGTAGTGATTTAAAGAAAAAGCAAATCCAAATGCTACTGTATTTTAATCTTCCAATGTTGTTGCTGTTAGGTGCTATTGAGAAATTGTACATATTAAATAACATATACAAAGTTATTAAAGCAGCCTTTGGCTCACAACTAGTGCCTAATAATAAATATAATAAACCCTACTCCTAGTTCTGTTTATAAAGTTACCTCCCAAATATTGGTTTATGTAATAACATCGAATCATGCTAGTCCTGTAAGATGGTTAAAAAGATGAAAGACTTTACAGTTTTTGTTACTTTTAAGGTGATTTTTACTCTTCCTTCTCAGTTTCTACTTTTACCATAACCTAGATTTCTTTTGTCAGTTTTTAATATAAATATGTGCCCCTAAAATACATATTTAAAATACATGATACAGTTTTATCTTAAGATTATTATTTTATTTTCAGTAGTCAGTGACCGTCAATCAAACAAAGAGAAGGAAACTGATTTCCTGGAGAAAGAAAAGTCTCTGGAGTGGTTTACAGGAAGTAAAGAATGAGATGGCTCACCTAAGTTTCAAATTCCTGCAAAATGTCAAACTGCAAGTCAAGGGTCCAAATGGAACATTGAAGCAGTTTTTCAATGTTATACATCTTTCTGTAGCATAGTTATTTTCAAAATTGTATGTACAACTTCTATAAATGATAGAGTTAAAAATGTCAATCTTTGAAAGTGGTCATCTGCGATATATACAGTTAGTTCTATTGTTACTTTCCAGTCTTCAGCTCAGTTGCTGTCACCTGGACTGCTTAGCTAGGTTGTGGTTTCAACTTACTCAACTTGATAAGAAAAGTTATAATTTAATAAGGGGGGGAAAAAGTATGGTTATTGCAAGAAGGAAAACACCATTTAATGATGCTTGAAAACACTCATTTGTGTGACCAAACAGTTTGCAATGTATAGGTCTAGCATTATAGGAAATGATCCAGTATAGGGAAAATCAGGATGTGGCTCTTCTGGGATAAACCAAAATATAAAATATATTCTACATTTAATTTTTATAATTTGTTCATAAAACTTAAAAGTGCAAATTACTGCCTGAATAATAACTTTTTTCTCTCATTTTCCCCGCAATTGCCAGTTATCTTACATGGACAATTTGTTAATGTTACATGATAAAATTATATGAATATAATCAAAGGGATAAGTTATTATTAGTCAGTGGATACTTGAAAACTTTTTCTTGGCCTAAATAATGTATCTGTACAACAAAGATCTAAATTTAGTTCTTTGAAGAATTCTAGCATGAGAATTTACCCTTTTGGAACATTCGCTCTTTGCATAGTAAGTCCTATTCATTTCTTAGTAATAATTACTGCTCTAAATTAAAACACAGTATGTGAAGTGCTTTACAATATGTGCTCTTCCTTAGAGGCAAGAAAAATATTAGATTAGAATATTCTAAGTAGAATCTTGAAAGATGTGTTTACATGAAATGCGGGAAGAGTTGTTATTTGCCTTATAGATTTTAATTTAACAGAATAAATACACATTTCAAATTTCTATAAATGTCTGGGAATATTTTTTTAAGTATATTTCTTAATATGGCCAATCTGCATGTTTCCCCTGCATATACACACAAAATAAAATTGAAGTCACCATGAGTCAGAATTTACAGCAAATAACAGCATAATAAGACTAGATTTTGGTAGAGCAGGGAGGTATGGTGGTGGTTTACAATAGCAAATAACACTGGATATAGGGAGAAGTAGTACATAATTTAAAGTTAGAGCAAAATGAAATTAGGAATGTTGTGAGATGTGGTAGAGGAGTCAAAGATGAATCCAAATCTGAAAGAATGAAGACATCATTTAGTAAAACGAGGGAGACGATGGGAGGGTAACTGAGGAGAAATAAAGAGTTCGGATGTGGATGTGTTGAGTTTAATATGTCTGTGAGATAACCAAGAAAGGAGCTCAATGACTGAAAGAAACGAATTGGTTCCTAGACAATTTTTCTGTATTACTGCTGAAGGCTGGAACTAGATAACCAAAAGCCTGAAAATGCACTAGAATGTTCTCAGTTAACAGCAGTATCACTCGTCCAATTGCTTAAACTAGAAGCTTGGAGTTATCATTTTCTTTATCTTCAATTCCCTTTTTGAGAATCTGGGATATTCATACTTTTGTTTGAATTAAAGTGATCATAAGTTTCTTAAATCCATCCTACTATCACTGCCTTGAATCAGGCCTCAACATGTTGAAATATTACCGTAATTTTTTAAGGATACTTCCAAGCTATACTCTTACATAGAATAGAAACAGAAAACAAAGCAAATAGTTCACAAGAGAGGACAAACTGCCTTGAACTTGGAAAGAAAATAACAAGATAACCTCAAATGAAATGGAAAAACCTCAGCAGAATAAAAACACAAAAATCTAGTAAATAGTAAAATAACAGGAAAGAAGAAGTCACAAATAAAAGGAACTAGGCACCAAAATTCATGTGGAACAAAGAAACCAGTAACGTCTCACACACACAAACTACCACAGCAAATCACAGTAAGAAGTTATTAGATGTCAGTAACACTGAATGTAAATTGATTAAATGTACTAGTCCAGAGTCAGTAGCAGATTGGAGTCCTATCTAGCAGGACTCATAAATATGAGGCTTACAAGAAATATAGGCAGACAAAAATAGACTAAATTTCAAAGAATGGAAAATATCAAACTACTGGCAATTTTTTAAACACCAATATTCTGCAATAAAGTAGACTAAAAGGCAAATCTATCATGAGAGCCAAGGGCATTACATAATGATTTACGGGGTCACTGAATAAGACACAACCTCAAATATACATCTATGCACCTAATAAATGACTCAAGATACATTGATCAAATTCTTGTAGAGTTGAGAGAAACGCACAATACTACAACAATATTAGGAGACTTCAATATACCACTCATGAAGGACAACGTGATCTTTTATCCATACAGAACACCCCCAAAACAAGATATATCCTCTTCCAGTGCAGATGTAACATACTCCAGAAGAGATCATATATTAGGCAACAAAACAACCCTGAATAAACTTTAAAACAGACATTACAGACCATTTTCTCAGACCAAAATGCTCTAGAATTAAAAATCAAAAGAGCAAGGGTAAAACATGGAAACTGAACAACACCCTGCCTAAAAACTATGGAGTAAATGAAGTAATGAAATTTAAAACTTCCTTGAAAGAAACAACAAATATACCCAAACCATAAGGGCACAGCAAAAGCAATACTCAGAGGGCAATTAATAGCAATAAAATGCACATATAAAAAAAGTCAACACCTTAACCCAACAGCTTTAACAATTATAACAAGAGCAACAAAATAAACCCTCAGCCACCAGAAAAGAAGTGGTGGTCACTGGGTGCCATTGAGTCAGTTCCAACTCGGCGATTCCATGTGCAACAGAATGAAACATTGTACCATCTGCACAACTGTTACATCTGAGCCCATCGTTGCAGCCACTGTGTCAATCTTGTCAAGTGCCTTCCTCTCTTTCATTGCCCATCTAATAAGTATGCTGTCCTTCAGGAACTTCTCTCCTGGCAACATGTCCAAAGTACATCATGGTTTCTAAGGAGCATTCTGGTTGTACTTCTTCCCAGACACATTTGTTTATTCTTTGGGCAGTGGGTGGTATTTTCAAGCCCCACCAGCATCGTAATTCAACTATGTCGATGATTCTTCGGTCTTCTTTATTCAATGCCCAAATGTTACATGCATACGAGGCAATTCAAAATACCATGGCTTGATAGCCCTGGTGGCGTAGTGGTTATACATACATTGGGCTACTAACTGCAAAGTCAGCACAGGGTTAGATGGTTGATGGGTGAGAGAGAAGGTAGTTCACAAGAGGGAGGAGAGAAATTACAGAGGAGGTGAAGGGTAACTGATTGGGGGGTTGATTAATAGCATAACTGTTGAATGCAAAGTTGATTTAAAATGTAAACCACCCAATTTACATAGAAAAAACATGATTCTCTTGTTACTTCCCTGCTCACACACTCCCTGCTCCCTGGAACCCCTCTGTATTTGAAAAGCCTAGTGCCTGGGAGTGGTGGCATAACAGCTTAAGTCTAGTCAGCTTGGCTGTAAACAGGGTTTGAGGAGGGAGCGTCTATATTTCTCTCACTGGAAGTCAAAGCCCATTTTCTTCCTGTCCTTGTTAGTAAGAGGAGAATCTACACCAGATATTATGTCCTAAGGATCAAGTTCAGCCCTCCAGGGACAGAGTGTGGGTCACACAATCCGCATCACAATGACAGGGGAGGTTGGGACCAGGCATCCTCCACAAGACTGTCCTGGAAAAGGAGCCTGGCTCCTGTTGCCTGCTGGGTGAAGCCAGCGTGGGTGTGGGCTTGGGCTCTGGGCCTGGCTATCCACTTGGTGCCACCACCCCGTGCTTTAGACCCTGCTGCAGAAATAGATTTCTGAATGTCCCGCCACACAGTCGAATGAATCTCACAGCTTCCAACGATTGGCCCTGCTCGCTTGGATGAGAGCTGTGTTTGCTATGCACAGAACCTGCCTCAGGAATCCAGTTGAGAGGCTGCCTGGCAAGTCAGAGCTTCACAGCTGTGTTTAATCTTCCCAGTGAGGCTGGAGGTGTCCCAGCGCCCCAGTGCCTGTGAAAGATGATTGGCTGGCCCCAGGGATGCATTTGAGCTTAAGCGTATGTAGAAGGAAGGGTCACGTGTTATAAGCTAGAGCTACTCCTAAGTGAGGTGTGTGTGTGTGTGTGTGTGTGTGTGTGTGTGTGTGTGTGTGTGTGTGTGTGTGTGTGTGTGTGTGTGATTCTGGCTCACAACAGACTTTTCAGAACTTTCCGTTTGCCAACTGCTTTTGCCATGCAGACTGACGCACTGAAAGCACATGGAGACTTCTGGAAGAAAGGGGAGGAGAGAACAAAGGAGGTCTCTTACCCAAAACTAACTGCCATCGAGTCGACTCAGACTTACAATGACCCTAGAACCACACCTGGTGGTTTCTGAAGTGGTTGATCTCTCTAGACACAGAAAGCCTCATCTTTTCTCCCAAGGAGCTGCTGCTGGGTTTGTGCTTTAGACCTTGCAGCTAGCCAGCCCAGAGCTGAAACTGCTATGCTACCAGGGCTGCTTAGAGGTCTCTTTGAAGTTGGGTAATTCTCCAAAACCAAAATCCAAACTCACTGCTATCAAGTCGTTGCCTACTCAGCAACCCTATAGGACAGGGTAGAACTGCCCCTGTGGGTTTCTGAGACAAACTCTCCGTTGGAGTTGAAAGCCCCTTGGAGTGACTAGTGGTTTCAAACTGCTGACCTTGCAGGTAGCAGCTCTATGTCATCCTAAAGGAGGAGCAAAAGGAAGAAGAAAAGGACAGAGATGGGGTGGGGGGATGAGGAGGAAGAAAGGAAAAGGAGGAGGGAGAAAGAGCAGGAGGAGGAAGAGGGGCATTAGCCACAGATGAACAATTCAATTTCATCTACGGCATCTTCCCACTGTCTGCTAGGTATAGAAGATAACAGAGCTGAACAATGGTTGGACTTAGCATATGCCCTGTAATGAATGATATTACCTTAAGACATCTGCCTCTCATGTGAGACCTTGAAGTCCTTTGGGCTAGATATGAAGTCTTTATTTCCCTTTCTGTATTGGACCTATTGCATATTAATCCAAAAAAAATAAAACCAGTTCTGACTCCTACTAAGCCCGCCAATGTATGTTTGAGTAAAATTGGGCTCACTTGCTCCATCAGGTTTTCCATTCCTGATCTTTTGAAAGCAGATCACCAGGGTTTGCTTCTGAGGTACCTCTGGCTGAAATTAATTCCCCAGCCTTTCAGGTAGCACCTGGGTACTTAATTGTTTCTACTACCTAGGAACTCCAACAACACAATAAAAACCAAACTCAATGTTAACCAGTTGGTCCCAACTCAGAGTAACTATCAGACAGACTAGAACTGTTCCAGAGGGTTTCCAAGACCATAAATCTTTAGGGAA